ATATGTACTCTACAGTACTGGAAATTATACTCACCAGCTCTGCAGAACAGCAGCTTGGTTCCGTCTCGGTTCTGCAGACCTACCTTGCAGCGAAGAAACCCACCGCCCCGTCCGGGTTGATGTGCACGTGGATAATTGAGCTTCAGGATTATTTGTGACTTTCCTGCCAGTTCTGTGAGCTTCATAGATAGATCGTTACTTCTGACTTTGCGTTGCTAAACTATCCCTCTATTTCGGCAGAAAGCACTGTTGGCTTCTGGGTAGTGTAGTTCTTTTTGACTGGCGATACAGTATAGGTTTATTGAACGAAAACTACAAAATGGCGGCGCTTCTCCGAAGTATTTTTTTGTGAACTTTTTATCCCGTACTGTCCCAATCACGTGAATAATATTAAAGTTGACAATAGTTGAAAAAACGCAAAAGAGCGAGTCTGAGAAAGTCGAACCGCGAAGTAGCGTGTTTGTTAAATTTGATTCCACCATTCCAAACGTTAGTCATCATTGTTCGTCCAGTGTTTAGTTTCTGAGAGTTTTAATAAAACCCATCAACTAGTTCATGGGATATTTTGCTAACATACAGGCAGAGTTGACGCCCAATAGTTATAGAAGTGGGCGATAATAAAACCTGTTGTTTCAGGAAGTTTTAGTGCAGTCTTGATATGCGCATTTGGACGTTTTTGACCACATTTATGTGGATTTTGTTCCATTTCAGCAGCAAACATGATGTGCTGTGACTGAACATCACAAAGCAGTAACGTTACAAACATGCAGACGGAGCTTGTTGGTGTGTTTTTCTGCCTTTTCTGCATCTTTAGTCCGGTCGTGTGGGGATGCACAGAGAGTAGCTTCCTTGTTTAATGTGTGGATTTTGTGTGGGCGTGCCTTTGAATTCCTGCCACTCTGTCGGCTGTATCCCAGGTTTTTTCACAGCATCTCTGTTTATTTCCCTCTCTCTTCACAGTTAACCCCGGCAGTATTTCTATCCGTGTGGAATAATGATGCTCGTCTGGAAGCGGTTGCCTACGAACGATACCGCCTCACAGAAGCAGGACTGACGAAAATAAATAATTATATAAAAGCAAAAACATGGTGGACAGAAACACTCTGTGTTGTCGTGGATGTTTTTATTTTTCAACAAGAGGAAAATCAACACGGTCTTCATATTGAAACTGCCTCGTTTTAAAATGATTTTGAGCACGATTAGATTGTTTTTTTTAACGTTTTATGGTTGTGTGTACATAAAAAATGTGTATTGTTACACAAAGTATATCTGATAGTACATGTTTGTTTTATTTTACAGTTAAAGTAGAGGCACATTTTACGGTAAATGGAATATTTTATTAAGTTCGAGCCTTTATCACCTTTATTTGTTTTACTACATTAAATATTTAAACATTACAGAATAATCTGTAAAATGGTCCTCTTTTTGCCATTCAAACAAAAGTGTTTTCATTATGTTTAAAATCCTACATTCAGAATTTTTTTGTGGGAAGAAACCTTCAAATATGTTGTTAAATATATTGTAACTTTTATATGTTTGACTTTAAAGCCTCCAGAAACCAGTTTTAGGATTATGCAGTAATGTGCGGTCAGCAAACGTATGAAATATAACGTAGATCTTGTGGTTTTCTCACTTTGAGAAAAACTAAAAAAATACACACAAAAAAACATGTTTGGCCATAAATGGCCCTTATGCTGATGTATTTTGCAGTTTTTTGTTATTAAAGCTAAGAAAGTCAGAACAAAATATGCCTGTACACGAATGCTCAATTAGGTCAAAAAACAAACAAGAAACCTGATTATTTAGGTCAAATTGTAATCATGATTATTTAAAACAATTATTGAGTTTAGAATTGCATCTTTTAACTTAAAGAACACTAAGATGCCTTGAACGTGAATTTTCCTTCATACCCTCCTTTTGAACTTTCCCTTGAAATAAAGTATTTATTTGAAATGTAAACCTCTAAATAAAAGATTTGAGTTGCTTCAGACGGCAGAGGAACTTTGGTGTTGACGCCGTTCTGACCAGCCATTAGCTCATGAATCCAGAATTCAACTCTCCAAACTGAGGTTGTTCAACTAGCTATCTACAACAGGTAAGATATTAACTGTTCATAATGTTTCCACAGAACACCACTTCAATCTGAACTATTGCTTCAGTTGTACCAAAAGAGACAATTAAAAAGTCATGAATAAGATGACAGGATCATTATCAGTTAGTAAGAACTGATCCTTCCTGTTTTAGGAGAGTTTGAAATGGACCTGGATGTTTCTGTCTCCATACCTCACAGGTGGAATGAGTGGGTTCGACTGAAGTAAATCTTTCAGAACCACCTCAAGCCAACCGGCTCTTATCATACATTATGTAATGGTTCATCATGTTGCCCAGGTGCTTTTTTTTTTTTTAAACTAAATGTTTAGATACGTTCCGTGTGAATTTATGTTGTGGTTAAATTACAAATTTATAAAATTTGTTTTATTCTGATCTCAGGTGACATGCAGCCTCCTGATGGGAACGCCACCTCAACCAAAGTTTTCTGTTTTCAATTTCAGACATTTAATGTGTTTTATACACACACACACACACACATATGTATATATATATATATATATATATATTTTTTTTTTTTTTTTTTTTTTTTTTTTTTTAACACAGTGCCTTGCGAAAGTATTCGGCCCCCTTGAACTTTTCAACCTTTTGCCACATTTCAGGCTTCAAACATAAAGATATAAAATTTAAATTTTTTGTGAAGAATCAACAAGTGGGACGCAATTATGAAGTGGAATTAAATTTATTGGATGTGTCAACCTTTTTTAACAAATAAAAAACTGAAAAGTGGGGCGTGCAATATTATTCGACCCCTTTACATTCAGTGCAGCAAACTCACTCCAGAAGTTCAGTGAGGATCTATGAATGATCCAATGTTGTCCCAAATGACTGATGATGATAAATAGAATCCACCTGTGTGTAATCAAGTCTCCGTATAAATGCACCTGCTCTGTGACAGTCTCAGGGTTCTGTTCAAAGCGCAGAGAGCATCATGAAGACCAAGGAACACACCAGGCAGGTCCGAGATACTGTTGTGGAGAAGTTTAAAGCCGGATTTGGATACAAAATGGTTTCCCAAGCTTTAAACATCCCAAGGAGCACTGGGCAAGCAATCATATTGAAATGGAAGGAGTATCAGATCACTGCAAATCTACCAAGACCCGTCCGTCCCTCTAAACTTTCATCTCGAACAAGGAGAAGACTGATCAGAGATGCAGCCAAGAGGCCCATGATCACTCTGGATGAACAGCAGAGATCTACAGCTGAGGTGGGAGAGTCTGTCCATAGGACAACAATCAGTCATACACTGCACAAATCTGGCCTTTATGGAAGAGTGGCAAGAAGAAAGCCATTTCTCAAAGATATCCATAAAAAGTGTTGTTTAAAGTTTGCCACAAGCACCTGGGAGACACCAAACATGTGGAAGAAGGTGCTCTGGTCAGATGAAACCAAAATCCAACTGTTTGGCCACAATGCAAAACTATATGAATGGCGTAGAAGCAACACAGCTCATCACCCTGAACACACCATCCCCACTGTCAAACATGGTGGTGGCAGCATCATGGTTTGGGCCTGCTTTTCGTCAGCAGGGACAGGGAAGATGGTCAGAATTGATGGGAAGATGGATGGGGCCAAATACAGGACCATTCTGGAAGAAAACCTGTTTGAGTCTGCAAGAGACCTGAGACTGGGACGGAGATTTATCTTCCAACAAGACAATGATCCAAAACATAAAGCCAAATCTACAATGGAATGGTGCACAAAAAAACGTATCCAGGTGTTGGAATGGCCAAGTCAAAGTCCAGACCTGAATCCAATCGAGAATCTGTGGAAAGAGCTGAAGACGGCTGTTCACAAACGCTCTCCATCCAACCTCACTGAGCTCGAGCTGTTTTGCAGGAAGAATGTGCAAGAATTTCAGTCTCTCCATGTGCAAAACTGACAGAGACATACCCCAAGAGACTGTAGCTGGAACTGCAGCAAAAGGCGGCGCTGCAAAGTATTAACGCAAGGGGGCCAAATAATATTGCATGCCCCACTTTTCAGCTTTTTATTTGTTAAAAAAGTTTGACACATCCAATAAATTTCATTCCACTTCACGATTGTGTCCTACTTGTTGTTGATTCTTCACAAAAAATTAAAAATTTATATCTTTATGTTTGAAGCCTGAAATGTGGCAAAAGTTTGAAAAGTTCAAGGGGGCCGAATACTTTCGATATTACATACAGTACATGAATTGTTGTTCCCAATTCAGAATAATTAATTTTATTATTAAAAAGTTACAACTACAGTTAACTTTCCTAAATATTACCGTGAGCTATAGTATTTGTTAGACTAATGTTGCACATGCTAGTAAATAAACTGTCATTAAGTGGAACCTGTAAAATGTAAAATAAGCACATTAATGCATCAATAATTAAAGACCTATTCCTTGGAAGCATTCATATCGCCCTTCACCTTTCATGCTAAAGTTTTAGACTAATGTTTGATGTTGATAAAATATGGAGTTGTATCCGTTTAGGTCAAACCTTGGAAAATAACAAGAAATATTAGGATATCTAGCCTGATCTGTCAGCGCTTGGATTATTTGTTGTGACTGACAATCAACTCGTATATCAAACTTTAGCTCACTGTCTGTAAAATTCCCTGACATGTAGCCATTTCTGTGTAGGCTAAGGTTGATTAGCCGTGGTGGCCATCTTGAATTAGGTTGGCTTCAAAAGTTTATTAATTGTACTGTACATCCAATCATTTCTCAAACTTTCATAAAATGTGTTCAGGGGTTCATGTTTTGTTTTAATAACGGTACAAACAAATGAACGCATACACACATGTGTATATACATATCTAGACACAGGCCAAAACATAATTACACGTCAATTAAATAAATAACGTGCAAAAAATAAAAATTTGTGACTATTTTCACAAAATAGAGCTGCTAAAAATATATATAATTCTAGAAAAGATCAAATAAAAAAATAAACATTCACAAAACAGGAAAATCCAAAAATGGCGTTGGACCAACGACAACCATGTCAAAACTCAAACAAATGTGATATTCTGATTGAGCCTCTGTTTGTTTTGCAAATGGTCTGTACTCAAGGACGTAATGTAACTGAGTGAGTTTTATGGATTTTTTTAATTATCCCTGCTAAGATTTTCTTTTATAAGGCTAATCATGTGGAGATGTAAATATCTTGCAGCCCAGTTCTGAATTACATCACATCCTCAATATTCAGGATCGGAATAAGTTTTTTGTTTACTTTGTAGGTTTTGAAGTTTTGTACTTTCCCTGCACGTTCGAGTCGATCTGTTGCAACCTCGCGTCCTTGACGAACGGCCGCGCTGCGACGGGTCATTGTTTACACAATAAGTAATGATTAGATCGGAGGATTCTTCCCCCTAAATGACGTTAATTTGCAAGTTGCTGAATCACACATTCGGAGCAGTTGGGCAGATACTCGGCTGGACAACAGCAGTAAGTATCACTTTGGTACTTATGTGCATGAACTGTGGAAAAGCTGTCCCTTGTAGTAAACTTGTTTCATTGTGCCAAAAATCTTATTTTATTCTTTGTTCTTTCTTTTTGTCTGACTCTACAGCAGAAATGACGTCTTGATGATTTCTATCTTGTCTCTTATTGGCACATTCTGCCACGATACTCTCTCCTGCCCAGCTTTGTGTAAATGCCACCCCAGAGGAACAGAGGTGGTCTGCATCCCACTGAGGGCCTCCCAGAAAAGACCATTCTGACAGGCCAGTTCACCAACATCACCTCTGTTTCCGAGTGCCATCTCAATGCCACGCTGCTGCTGCAGCAGCTCCGCCTGTACGGAAACCACCTGCAGAGCCTCTCATCTAAGGTGTGTCCCTCGTCTGCGCTCGTTGAACCTGACAGGAAAGAAGCTGAGCCTGCGGACGCCTTCAGCCACGCCTTGCTCTTGTCCTGATTCATGGTCGGATCCAGGCAAAGGAGATTAAACTAAAGACAAATTTATTAAATAAACAAAAAGCTGGCATGGTGGCCAACCTTACAGGAGAACACAGAGAAGCACAAGACGGACAAAGACGTATGGAAAACCAATACAATGAGCCACTGACGAGAAACGGTTTAAATGGCAAACTGAGGGAGAGACGGAAGTGGAAACATCTGGGCTGATTGCTAATCAGGAACAGATGAGGGTGACAGACTAAACGCTGAGCAGGCTTACTGAGGGAAAATGGAAGATGGCACAAGAAACAGAGAAACAAGATCTATACCTGAATACTCAAATAAAACCCCAACAATGAAATACAAAATATCTAAACTGAAGAGGACAACAGAACCCAAAGGATTAAAATAAACCATGAAATGAATAATACTAAGATGAACTGAAGGACTGAAAGAAAACCACAAAAAACATACTACTGCTCCATCATCCTGTTGGTCCTGAAGAATAATCTCATCAAACGCACAGATGCTAAATGGCTTCCTGCTAAGAGCATCATGACCTACTTGAACTTCTTTGAAAACCATCAAGCCATCTCAGCAGGTTTGCTTCAGAAGTTGCCTCACTTGAAGAGCCTTGATCTTTCCAACAACCGTCTTAAGAAGATATCTGCTCATTCTCGACTCGCTGACTAAGCTGGAGCAGCTGAACCTGCAGAACAATGAGCTGCACACTTTGGATGGATCTGCATTCTGGAGGCTGCAGAACCTCACTTCTTTGTTGGTCGCTCAGAAAAAGAGGGCCATGCTTCCACAGAACCTGAACAACCAGATGAAGTGCATCCCCAAAGGTATGCTGGAGCTACTGCACTCCCTGGAGGAGCAAGGACTAGACCTGAGCTCCAACCCTCTGCTGTGTGGTGAGATGGTGCAGGACCTTTGGAGGTGGCTTCAGAAGAACCAGGAGAAGGTTTTCCTGGCAGATTTGAATAAATCTGAATAAATGTAAAAGTAAAGTAAATAAAAGACATTCCAGATCTGTCTTTGCTTTTTTGTGTTTAAAAAGCAAAGTTGGGACTCAGACTTCTGCTCTCTTTTTTTATTTAGGTAAAAGAATCAACATTTTTACTATGATGAGATTCAGTTAAGGAAAAGGTGGCATGGAGGCTGCACAGGTGCAGAAAGAAAAGCTTTGCAGAGAGTGGTGAAAGCTGCACAGAAGTCTGCTGGAGTCAGTCTCCCCACCATCACAGACATCTACACCTCTAGATGCAGGAAGAGGGCCACCTGCATCATGAAGGACCACACTCACCCAGCACAAACACTTTTTGCCCCGCTCCCCTCAGGAAGGAGGTTAAGGAGAATTAAGTGTAGAACCACTAGACAGAGGAACAACTTCTACCCTGAGGCTGTTAGACTCATGAATCTCTAACCAAGATTCAAAACATGTGAAAAAAATAGCAGCTTATAGTCCAGAAATTACGGTACGTGCTTTGTTTCAGCTCTGCTGAAATTTAAATATTAAGTAAATAGTTTGTTGTCACCAGTAAGACAGTTTAAGTGAATATTTCCATATAAGATCATTTTCAAGCATTTAAACATCTTATTATATTTAGAAATAAACATCTGAACAGTTGTTTCACACCAACCACCCCAATCCACTCAAAATAGCTTCATCATGTCATGGATTGTTGTTAATAAAATGTACGTTTTTAATTTAAATTAATCCAAACAGTCATTATGCAATAACGTTTTAGCATGTGTCTGTACCGTTAGCTAAATATCTCATGAACCACAAGACAGATTTTAATAAAACTTTCACGATGTAATCAGAGGATTAACATCTACAACAGCTCTGTTTAAGATGGCCGCCACAGCTAACTGGCATCAGAAAATTCAAGACTGGCTATAACACAGTTGATTTTACAAGTATTTAGCTACAATTTGGTGTGGCAGTAGCTATGCATCCTCCCCAACACATCCTTTGATTGCAGCACACAATTCAATATGTTTGCTTAAATTTCTAGTATTAACTATTGGACTCAATCTTATCTGTCTGTTAGCAGAATATCTCATGAACCACTGGTTTAATTGTATTTAGACTTGCAGATAATAATCACTGGATGCACCTTTACAACAGATTCACTTTTAAAGTTAACCCATTTCAAGATGGATACTACTAATCAACCAAAGAATACACAAAATTGATCATACCTCAGTTGTTTTTACAGATATTAAACTAAAGTTTGGTGTGGCAGTAGATGAGACTGATTCACAACACATGTTCTAAGTGCTAAATGGTTGTGCTTAAGATTATTTTCAAGGTTTCACTAAAATGGATTCAACTCCCTTTCTGGACATGGAATGATCTATAACATAAGGTGGCATGCAAAATGCATGGAAATAATAGTTCTCTACATGTTTCACGTAAACGTTTTCCAATAATTTTTGTGTCCGACTGGAAAAAGAAAGCACTGATTTATTTGTGGTGATGTAAACGCAACTCTCCTGCTGCTTTATTTGCTCAGTTCTGTTTGCCTCTTGCAACATTTCGTGCTGATTCGCTGAAATTCACTCGGCTCTCCCGTCACAAACAAGTGCCTCCGCTGTGACAAGCAGGTAGGAACACATTCATGTGCACCGTCCTTAAAGTGAAGCGTTATTATCTGTAAGTCGTGGCTTGTTCCTCCTTAGATGCAAAGATGAAGCTGCTGCTGCTGCTCACTTTCACAGCACTGGCCGAATTCGATGCTCTCTCGTGTCCGGATCTGTGCTCCTGCTGTTTGCCGTCTGCCATGGTGGTGTGCAGCCGAGGAGGCCTCCGAAGTTTCCCGGCAGCTGGTTTACCCTCCAACACCACCGTGCTGTCCATTCAAAACACAAACCTCAGCAACGTTACAGCAGCTCACCTGAGCGCCGTGCCTCGTCTGAGCGAGCTGCAGCTCTATCGCACACACCTGGCAAACCTTTCTTCAGAGCTGCTGGTTGGCGTTCCCCACCTGGACATGTTGGACCTCACAGGAAACCAGCTGCTTCATCTGCCTCCGAAGATCTTCAGCCATGGCTCGCTCCAAAGCCTGGTGCTGAAGAACAACCGGTTGGAGAGCGCGGACGCAGCTTGGTTTTCTGACAACAGCAGCCTCACCTGGCTGGACTTGTCTGGGAACCGTTTAGCCAGCGTCCCAGCCGCTCTGCTGCAGAAGCTGCCTCGCCTTCTGACTCTGGACCTGAATGATAACGACCTGCAGGAGTTACAAGGTGAGACGTTTAAGAGCCTGCGCCAGCTGGAGACGCTAAACCTCGCCGGGAACAAATTGATCACCCTGAAACCACAAACTTTTGCCCACAACCACAAACTGAAGCACCTGTACTTGCAGGAGAACCAGCTCCAGGACCTGCCGGAGAACCTCCTGCACGGCCTCCAGCACCTTGAGCTGCTGCTGCTCAACCGGAACCAGCTGCGTTACCTCCCGTCAGGGCTGCTGAACGGGATAAATCCTTCGGTTCAGATAGTTTTGTTGGGGAACCCCTGGGTGTGCGACAGGAAGATGGAGTATCTGTGGAAGTGGCTCAGCGCTCACTCTGACAACATCCTGTTTGTGGAGGAGGTGACGTGTGGCGGCCCCGAGTCTTTGAAACATCAACAAGTTGCATCTTTAACTGACAGTCAGCTCAACAGAAAACACAATAAAACATTCACATGATGGTGAAGATCAAGGAAAGTGTATATTTTACACTTTCTCCCTAAAATCTGGTGTCAAATTAAAAAGTATTGATAGATAATTATGATGCTTTTCTCTGATTTCTCAATCGTAACTGCATGTTTTGTCCACTGTCCTGCCCTGTGAGAAGCATCAGGACACTCCTGATGAGCTAAAAGTGTCTTCAGTGGATTTTTCAGCTCCTTTGGATTGTGGTTCAGTGGATAGGTTATGTACAGCTGATATCTTACCTGTCGTAGATAGCGTTTTGAATGACTTGAGTTTGGAGAATTTTAATTCTGACTTGAATAATGAGACGGCTAATCAAGTTCAATGTTCTTTATTGACATTCGCATCACATGTGGTACATGAGGTGGAATGAAATGGTGTACTCAAAGTCCCAGTTACACCCAAAAATACCACAAATATAAAATATTAAATAAAAACAGGATATAAGGATCTAAGATATATGCTAAGCAGTACGCTAAAAGATCTAAGATATGTGCTAAACACTAATAATGTAAAATAATACAATATATTATACAGCATCTGAGAGGGTTTAAGATCAAACTCCAATCTCCAAATGTTATGACTGTTCAGGCAAATATTTTACAGTAGTCCCTCGCTACTTTGCGGTTCGTTTATCACAGACTCTATTGTGGTTTTTCAAAACAAGATTGGACATGACACACAAGTGGATGATTGATGGGTGAGCTGCACGATTGGCATGACATTTTATTTAAAATTAATTGTTTTAAATTATTTAGCACCTGCTGCACCTTTGTGCAGCCCATACTGCAGGATAAACTTCCTGCTGCAGCTGATCAGCTGTTCTCTGTGCAGAGCTGAGGAGTGGGCGTGGCCAAGAGCACTTGCAGGTGGCAAAGAACAGCGGAGGCAGGGAGCTAAAATCATGAGATTCTGTGCATATACATATATATATATATATATATATATATATATATATACTGTATAATAAAAATAAACTGCTACTTACTACTTGTACTACTATTCCTACTTCACGGTTTTTCACTTATCGTGGGTTTCAGGGTACGGATCCCCTGCGATAAACGAGGGATTACTGTACTCTAATTTATACATAGTTATCAGGACCAATGACTCGGAAAGTACATGAAACATGTTTTTACTTTCGATTATTACCATTCTTGAAGTACTGCCTGTATCCATTTACTTGAGATAAAGTGGAGATAAAGATGTGATATGTTGTTTTAAAAAACACTCGAAAAGCTTTGTTTTTATTTGAATTTGTCCACTTTGGCAATTCAAATATTCTGCAGCTACAGTCCCTGGATGGTTTTATTTTTTTTACTCATTGTTGCCAATTTCCAGTGGAAATTGCTGAAATGTGAAAGAAATCCACAGATGATAATTTATAGATTTATTTAAAAATAAAATCAAAGTCTCACTAAATTTTCTAGAGTTGTTTAAAGATGACAGTGATCCACTTTGGCTTTGGTTTCACTCCGACTAGCTGCTATTGTCAAAATCGTCAGATTTAAACTTTATTTCTCCAAACCGAGGTTGATCAAAGCTGCATCTACAGCAGGTAAGATATTAATAGAGCAAGCCCTGTTTATAATAATCACTATCTTTTAGAGCAGTGTTTCAAAGTGAGGGCTGCGGCCCCCTGGGGGGGGGGGGGGG